TATTACAATTACATACAAAATTCAAATTATCATTTGAAACACGTTTTACACTAACTGTCACCCAAACTTATAAGGCATAGTTTGAGACAGGATAGCTGAAACACTCTAATGATAATTATTCATTTTCTGGAAATTTCCATGTAATATCAAATCTGGCATTTTGTAATTTCTAGAGCTATAGATCATTTTTAAATCATGATGATATTACACAAAACAGATGTGAAAACATATGCTTGCTTCAGTTGTATAAACTGTTTACTTGTCATAATAAATGTTGAGAGTTCCACTTTAAATGCACTCTCCTCTAATACTAAATCTATTTGAGGAAATACATTTTATGGCAGTATCACAAATACACTGGCAGAAATTGATATAAAAATTTTATTTGATGTAAAGTTTTCACTATAGCTGAGGTACAGCTTAGAATGTGATTCCTATTAATATCCTCATGAGGATGTGTGGCCAACCTACTTGATTGAAATGAGTAAAACTGCAATTCCACACTAAGAGATTCAAAAATTCTAGTGCATACCGCTGTGTATTTTATGAAAATCCATTACTGTACATCTTTACTAGCACTCCAGGTGATTTCTTCATAAGACACAGCAGTGTGTGGCTGAGCACTGCAGCAAACAAGCCAGCTTTAAATGCCTTTCTAACTTACGGGATTTGCAGTTCTCATGAAATCACATGTATCATGTACAGCTTGAGATTTTCCTAGAAAAAGCTTCTTTCTACCAAGTTGTCCCAAATACTGCCCCAAAATGATAGATAAAAGGCCTCAGGAACAAATTGTTGCTGGATTATGAATGAAGTTTCATTTTCACTAGAATTTCATACCTGTGTGAGCATTTGTATAGTTAATATGCAGAATCTAACGTTTGTTCTGACAACTATTTTGATATCAATCATTTACATCTTGGAGATCTAGAAAGCTTTTTAGTATTTGGACAAGAATAGCAAGACACATGACAGAAACCAACCACAGATCAATTAAAACCATACATTATTTCAAATTCTAGAACTAAAATTCTCATCTATGTGATCAGGAAGCAAGTTTATTCTAGAGAACAAAGGAAAGTTCTCCATTAAACTCTTCAGTGCATGAATCTTTCGCCTGTATATTATGAACATCTTTAACAGAGAGAGATGTACTTTATCATGAAGTACAAACCAACTTATGACCTGATAATTTATGTTAGGTTATATTCTTTAACTTATAATTACTGCCTAACTCATGTTGACAGTGATAATATACAGCTTATAGTATCTGTTGATATATATTTCTTTTTCTTACCTCTTAAGTAAGTTCTACTCAGCTTGAATATTAGGTAAGCATGGCTCTGAAATTCTTTTTTTGAAGATTTATTTATTTATGCAAATAAGAACTGGGGTATAAGCCAGAGGTGGGGGATGGGGTGAGAGGATTCACCAGAGACAAGAGTGGGAAGTAGAACAGGTGGATCTACTGAAATACACTGGTAAGGAGAGCAGGTGAGATAGGTGTGGTCTGCCGTGCGTGCCTATGTCGGTCAGCTCCCTGGCTGGCTGGGGAGCTGCATAGAATTCATACTGCAGTAGCTGGCACGCTGTGGCTTTATAGTGCTGTGTCTTTAACCCCGGTGCCACCAAGGAGGCCTGACTTTGAAATTCTTGCTCTCCCTAGCTTCTTTAAATAGATAACCTAAGGAAAAGCTGGATATTGTACAGAGTGACACATGTAGCTAAGTGGATTTTAAAGCTAGTTGACATTTTATCTATCAATGTATGATATAATTACTTCATTGGACTAACTTGCTAAGTATTCATTTGAAATGTCCTCATTAGAATATATTCTTTGGGCCCTCCCTGGTGGCGCAGCAGGTTAAAGCATTGCACTAAGAAGCTAAAGCCACTTCCGCATAAGTTCAATCCCTGCCTGCCCCGGAGGTGATCCACATGGCGTGGCAGACCTCTCCTGACCCGCCCGCTGCACCCCTCAGCAGTGTACTTCATCTATCTGCCTGTTCTGCTCCCCACTCTGTGTGTGGTGAATCCTCTCACCATCCCTGAACCTCTGACCTGTACCCAGTTCTGTATCCATAAATAAATAAATCTTAAAGAATATATTCTTTAAAATCACTTTTCAGTGATTTATCTAATCTCCATGACAGCAACTCAGTTTTTCAAACATAAACAGCAAGTGATGAATCACTTAAACATAGTCAATAAAGTACATATATAATAAAAGAGAATTAGACGTCTCTGTGAAGTCAGAATTAAAGGGGTTAAGGTATATCTTCCAACCATAGACACAGTCAAACTTTGGGCTGATGTATAGTTTAACATAACATCAGATAAACAAATTTCAAATAAACTATGCTTTTACAACTGAATTTATCTAAAGTCATATGGATCAATTCTGACTTACGGAAATATGGATAGAACATAAAATACTGGGATGTAATAGAATTAGGATCTATACGTGTACATCAAATAAGCAAATATAATTTTACCTTTATTTTCTCTTTGAAATTTTTTGATAGTTGGTCCATTATCCTGATCAACAATAAGTTCCTCTCTATTGTTGGGCATCATAACTATAAATAAGAGATATAGCTAAGTAATTTTCTATACAAAAACACTCGAAAGACACAGAAACATTACATATAGGGATTACTTTATATGTAAAACAACTAATATGAATTTTTACACTTCTACTTCTGAAAGTGGAAAAATTTCTTTTGGTATGACGATTATTTAATTTAAAAATCACTAAGCCACACAATCATGTGAATTTTAAAGTGTAAGTGACACATAGTACATATATATTTATCAACAAATTTCCTTTAAATATTTTGAAATATTTTCTCTGTTAAAATTCCTACACATATTAGCTGTTTGCCTCCATATTCAATCATATATTTGCCAAAATGCTTTGGAAAAGAATTTACTATTTAATTTCATAAGGTTAAAAACTCTGCATTTAGTTCATTTACAGTGTTTTTACAAATATATTTATAGCAAAATTGGTAGATGAAATGCAACATTTTGATGACATTAAGTCATCACAAAATATATTGAGAGAAAAAACATCAATTTTCATAGTCTATTTAATAATATTTATTATAATATATAGTTTTGCAAATAAAATACGGTCACTTTAAAACAAAACACATCAAAACTTTTCATTCATTTATAGGTAATCACAACCTAATGCTTGGACAATCATGGTATGTATACAAAAATTTTAATTATTACTAGGGAGGTAGAAATGTTTTATGCTTTCAAGACCTATTTTTTAGAACACCACATTGTTTTGGAAATAGCTGATTTTTCTTCTAACTTTAAGATACCATTCTCTTATAATTTATTTGTCACAGAGTGTGTTATCCTATATGTTTTGCTTTTAGCCACTACTCATTTAACAATTCTTTCACTTTCCTTTCCCTCGTTCATTATAATCTTTGTCATAAATACAAGGATTATACCTAACGAAGAATGTGTGTTTCGGTTCCTTGTTATTAATGGTCAGCTAGTTATATATCTGTGTATTGCTCAGGCTTCCTTAAGTCAGTTGTACTTAATATTTGAACAAGTTAGTCATGTCTACAGAACAGAGAAGAGCTAAATAAATGCTGTCATTTCTTTCAGAAATTAAACTTACTCCTGTAGAACTATTAGTCTGAAGCTATAGCTCTGTCATTTTTCACTATAGTTGTACATTAGCACCTTCAAGGAGATACTGAAAAGCTATCAAGGTACTGCTGCCATATTCTATTCCAGACCAGGTAAATGAGGTTCTGAGCTTCTAGTCTGTCCTTGAAAATTTGTAAGTGATCCACGGGTGGTACAATGCAGAAAGCCACTGAGTTTACTATGAAGTGAGAGAGTCACAAACAATATATAATATTAAGAGTTGGATGAATTTCTACAAGAGGAAAATTATAATTATCCTATATCGGCACAAACCCAGAATCTCATCTTCCTTAATTCCTCAAATAATTCTACTTATTCTCCCCCCCCCATAATCATACACAGTATTTTGAAATGTAACTATTATTAAGTGTAAAAATTTAGAATTCACATAAACAGTGTCCCTACAATAAGACTAAAAGAAGAGCAGGCATATTTTTCCTTAAAGAAAATGGATATTTAAGAAATTGGATTGTATAAATGCAGAAGATTAAGGAACAAATATTTACCTAGGTCACTTGATTTACAATTATTATATACTAAATGATAAGTTGCTAGAGTTGAATGTGTCTGGTATTTTCTGTATACCTGAGGAGAGTCAGAGAGCAGGAGGTGACAAGCAAGGTAGTGTCACACAGAAAAATATTTAAACTTATAATGTGTTTTTGCACATATTATTTTATCTGACCTCACAGAAATCCCATTATTAGGCAAATCAGTAATCATTTCCATAGAAACTCACAGTGGTTAAATGACATGCTCACAATGTCATAGTGCTAGAAATATGATTAGACTCAAGTATCCAATATGCCACATCACTGATATTACACGATTTTCAGAGTAGTATTTATGATATAAGATATCTGATAGACTGAAAAGAGATAAATGAATGGAAAGGCATGTTAAATATTTGTGACTTAAACTGTTGAATTTGTAGTAAATTATATACTAATTCACTTGTAAATCCCTACTAAGCCATCAACATTCTAAAGGATATTTGTCTTTCTTTTTTTTGTAAAGATGATGCAAATATTATTATATTTATATTATTATATTATATCAACTAATTATTAGATGATTGACATATTGAACTAACGTGTTATACAAATAGCCCATGGTACTATTCCCATGAGATCCAGCAATATAGAAGTGAAGGCCCCTCCAGAATTTTCATTTGATTGTTCCACAACAAAAATAATGACCACTCTAAAAAGTTACTCATATTAAAGTGGCATCAGCATCTTCTTTCTCCCCTCTCTATATTCTAATAAAAATTTTCCTGAAGTAAAATATTTGAATTTCTTCTTTTCAGGGCAGACACTTACCCATTCTCTCAGAATGATGTTCCATTTGAGAAGGTGAGCTTGAAACGCTGCTGCTGGGATGGGAGGAAGTCTGGCTCCCAGAGCGATGACTTTCTTCAAGAGAGGGAGCAGGAGAAGGACTCTCCTGGATCCGTTCCTGACACAAAATGGAAACAAAAGGAAATGCCATCTGTGCACCAAGTTTTTCGTATTGGTTGAATCGACAACATTTGAAATATTGACTTCTCCTTTATCCTGCAAACAATCACACCCATCATACCTGGTTTTAAACACATGCCTTTAAACAAAAGCATAGACTTTGTTCTTATGAGATTAATGGAATATTATGATGGCTAAATAAGCAGAGAAACATGAAAGGGCCCAGTGCCATGCTGGTTAGATGGTAAAGGATCAGGAAAAAACTAGTTTCATGCCCTTTGTAGAAAAATCACAAAAGATTATGAACATAATCTTAAAGTGAAGGTTACTATCATTGCAAGTTTCTCCATTGATGTAAAGTTCATGACAAGCCTTGTAGGGAGACCTTATTTTTGGATTAAGGAGATTTTCGAAAGTTAAACACTTGAGAGCTCTAAAATAAAACTCTCAAAGAGTGGCATTTAGTTTAGGTTGACTCTTTCGGCACGGATAAATATTAGGAAAACGAATAACAATATAATCTATAAGATCTTAGGAATTTATATTTAATTCCGTTCCCAGAATTGTTTGATAAATACAGGACACATGATGGGTTTTTAAAACTAATAATAACAATGCAAATTCCTTATAATTTATTCAAGTTTTCATAGTTTTAAACAAAAGTATTTCTTTCATATACTTCTAGAGTCACTGTTAAGACTCTCAAGATTATTGTGCTTATGAAAATTTCTGTTTATCATGATGTTATTCACTGTTTATGCAGAAAATAATGAAAAATTCTGACAGAATGATCAATAAAATATTCAGATAACATCCAAATAGCTTGGCTCATAAAAGAATCAAGTTTGAATGTTTATACATGCATGCAATATGTGTGATAGAGCAATAGATATGCTTGTACAGAAAATGTTGTATAAATATATATATAATTCATCAACAATAAATTTATTAAATTAAACATTCTAATAATCAATACTAATCATCATAGCATTAATAAGTGGCTTCTCAAATGCTGTCCTTATAGATTTTCATATTGATTTTGCATGACAAGACCAAATTTCAAAATCCCTTAATGAAAACCACTTTTTGTGCAAAAATAAGAACATGGGAGTTAAAGATTACAATTTCATTTTAGACATTACTATTTTGCAATGCCACATGCCTATTGGCCATCTGTATTTCCTCTTTGGAGAAGTGTTTTCACTTGTAATAGGGGAGATGCAAATTAAAACCACAATGAGAGACCATCTCACACCAGTAAAAATGGCAAATCTTAAAACAACTAGCTACAACAAATGTTGGTGAGGATGTGGAGACAAAGGAACTCTCCTACACTGATGGTGGCAATGCAAACTCATACAACCACTATGGAAAATTGTTTGGAGGTTTCTTGAACTGCTAAAAATGGAGCTTCCATATGACCCAGCAATTGCACTCCTAGGTATATATGCAAAGGACACAAAAATATGGATTCAAAAGGACACCTGCACCCCTATGTTTATTGCTGCTCTATTTACAACTGGGAAGACATGGAATCAACCCAAATGCCCAAAAATAGATGGCTAGTTTAAAAAGATGTGGTACATATACACAATGGAATATTACCCAGCAATCAAAAAGGGCGAACTCATGCCTTTTGCAGCAACATGGATGGACCTAGAAGGGATCATGCTTAGTGAAATAGAAAGAAAAAGAAAAATACCAGATGGATTCATTCATAGCAGAAGCTTAAGGGATCAAGAAGAAAAAAAAATCATAATAAAGAAAAAATTGTAAACAATGAACAACTACGAACCAGAGATATTTTACAGGTGTGGAGAGGGGCATGGGATCAAAACTGTTGTGCAGAGTACATAGGACTATGGTGATGGCACACAGGTGCATTGGTGGTAGGAAGTCTACGGGGATTACAACTGAGATGATTTAATACACAACATGAAGAATGATGTAAAAATAAATAAATAAAAATAAATCCTAAAAAAAGGATAAGAAAAAAAAAATGCAATGTCTATCATCATTATTCAGGCAGAATAATGGGACTGCGGAGATGTCTGGTCCACATTCTCACAACTAGAACCTGCGAATATGTGGCCTTACATGGAAAATGGAGTTTTCAGATATGACTGAGAACCCTGAGATAGATAACGCAAATTAAATTATCTTGGAGTAAGAAAAGAGAGTCAGAAAGAGATGTGATTATGGAAGAATGATCAGAAGGCAATGTTTCTGACATTGAAGACAGAGTAAGAGTACCATGAGCAAGAAATGTGGGTGACCTCTAGAAAATGGAAAAGGGAAGGACACATTATTCCCTGGAAGCTACAGAAAGAAATGCAGCACTGCCAGCACATTGACTTTAGACCAGTGATATCCATGTCAGATATCTGACGTAGATAACAAATTTGAATTTGCACTGTTTTAAATCACTAAGTTCCATAATATGTCACAGCACCAATAGAAAAATAGTCACCAATGTTCATTTAAATACCATTTTGTAATATTGTTTAGCATTTAATAAATGTTTCTTAATTTTAATGAATAGTAACTTGGTTTATATTGGTTTCAGTGTCATAAGCTAATTGTATGTCACTAATTTTATATGGATATTACATATTAAAAGGTCTGTAACTTGTCATGCCTCAATACAATGATTCAAGACACACTATTACACATTTTACATATGCTAAATATACATAAATACGTCAACTTATCATGTCATATATATGTGTAAATCATGCGCAAATATGAAGGAGTGAAAATGTAACTCCAAAGTTATATGGACATGTAAATGTTTTACAATTTTTTATAGACAAAAACAGAGGAAACAATTTTTTTCAAATTCTATTTGTAGATATAGATCATAGATACATAGATAAATGTATAATCCTCATACACATCCTTTTACTTTCTGAAAAGACTAACAGTTTGTCAGTTGTGAAAACTTAAATTATGATTAATAAAATTCTTTAAATAGTATATGTATACATACATGTACATGCACACACACACACCAATGTGAAGAATTTAATGTATAAGGTCACAATTGTTTGTTTTTTATATTTCACTTTTGTGTGGTCCCAATGATTCAATGCCAAAATATGTGAAGAGAGTTGAACATTCATTATGTGTCTTTGAGTTATAGCACGAGAAATTTGCTGAAATTTATATACATTTCAATGAACTATGTTCATATCTAACAGATCGTGAATGAATGGAGTTATAGCAACTACTGAACAGAAATAGAATTGAACCTACAAAGTCACTGTGTAGTGGCCAACAGGAAAAATATACATAGCAATATATGATCCCCCAACAAAAATAAAAAATTTTTAAATAATCATAAAATTGATGGTTTATAAAAAGAGAACCCAGATGTCAGTGATATTGCTCTCTCATTCCACCTAATAAAAATGACTAATTTTAAACCTTTATATAATTGTTAAAACATGCACAAATAGAAAATTCTGTGTATGAGAAAAACATGATGCTGTAAAGAAGCTCGAAATATGTTTCAAATTAGCATGTGATCTGATAATATGGATTTAAATAATTTATTTAAACCCTGCCATTTTCAACAGCATTTTCAGCGAAACAATAACTAATTTTGCCAGCATGCTTTGGAGTGACAGTAACATTTTGCATGAAGTAACATGCTATTTTAAGATTTTGTAGCCTGAACTTTCCAAATTAATTAAAGGTTCAGTTCATTGTTACTCTGTTCCTAAGGCATCACAGAAATCAGACTTTCTCATCATGTAAACTACATTAGATGAGTCCAGTGCCTGATCTGAATTAAAGATTAGTGACCTTAAAAATCTACACTTGGGGGCCCTCCCTGGTGGCGCAGCAGGTTAAAGCACTGCACTAAGAAGCTTAAGCCACTTCCGCATGAGTTCGATTCCCGCCTGCCTGGGAGGTGACCACATGGCGCGGCAGACCTCTCCTGACCCGCCCGCTGCTCCCCTCAGCAGTGTACTTCGACAGTCTGCCTGTTCTGCTCCCCACTCTGTCCCTGGTGAATCCTCTCACCCTCTGCATCTCTGGCCTGTACCCCAGCTCTGTATGAATAAATAAATAAATCTTTAAAAAACAAATCTACACTTGACTATAGGCGTCATGGTGGTGGGTACAATGTTTTAACAACAGCTGAGTGGAGAGATACTATATAATACACAAATAAAGGTATAAACTATAGTTACAGGATCTGGCTATTAGAATAAAACATATCCTACTATTTAATTTGTGAAGTATATTAAACAATGTTCTATGGTAAAGAAAAAAGTTGCGACAAAATGATATTACTTATAAATATTTATTTATCTGATCTTAGAGATGCTGGAAGAGTTGCCTAGCATTGCACAGACTTGCACCCCTGGCAGCTGGTCAGGCCTGGTGCACAGGAGCAAGGAGAACACTTTCTTGGTCCAAATTCTGCCTCTGCTATCCTGAGCAGGGAAGTTTCTGCAAAAGGGGTGCGTGGAATGGTCACGGAGGTGGAAAGCTGGAGCCTTCGTAGTTCGGCTCACGCGGTGGTGGGAGACGGCATGTGAGGATCCAGTCTCTACTGCTCTTAGTTACTTTGCCTTGGCCTACCCTCAGATTCCTGCACCCCAGACTCTTCTAAGACCCTCTGGGCTGGTCCCCACATAGGCATCTCTAGTCCCAGCATTTGCTCTCAAGTCCTATCAGACAGGGCTTCTCCATGAGGAGCCGGTGGTCTCTTCCTCCACTTGTGAGGCCAGCTCCAGTCTCTTCCCAATGAGCCCACCTTGACTGCCATTTTGACATGGCTGGCTACTGCTTTCTCTGCTGAAGAGGTCAGCTGCATCTTGCCATGACCAGCTACAGCTTAGATTCTGGAATCCGAACCAAAGACAAGATCTGGGAAAGGATAACTCTGTCTCTCTATGATTGGGTTTACTCCAAGGGAATAAATAGGCTTTAGGTTCTGTTTGGTAGTTTGTGTATTGGAGCATGTTTGAAAGCATAATTTACTGC